TCAGAAATATAACTCAGTTGGCAGAGTGCTTGCCTGGCATGCATGAAGCCCTAAGTTTGATCCCCAGTAGTACATGAAAATCGGTTGTCATTGTGCACCCCTGTTATCCAATACTTTGGAGGTGGAGGCAGGAAGATCAGAAAGAAGTTCAAGATCATCCTAAACCATGTGGAGAGTTCAAAGCCAACCTGGGCTACATGAGACCCTATCTCAACAAAACAACAACAACAAACAAACAAAAGCCAAAAAAAAAAAAAAACCACCAAAAACAAGTTTGAAACTGAAACAGCTAGGCCTCTTAATGGATTATATATATTTTTTTCCTTATCTGTAAGAGTGAAAGGGGAAAAGCAGGTAGAGAATTAAAACTTAAAAAGCAACAAAAAAGCTTGCAGGTAGGACCAACCTAGATCTAGAAAAGATTAGATGATTTATTTTTGACTTTTGCTTCCTGAGAGTAGAGACCCTGACTTAAAAATGCTGGGTGTGTAGCCCTTGAGTGCAGCCTCAGCCTCAGCCCCAGCTTTAGCCCACCATATGGGCCAGAAGACTTGTGGAGTCTCTTTTGTGTCTACTTTACCTCATTGTCCTCTCATACAGTTTCCACTCATGTCTCATCCCAGCCCCTGTCAAAAGACAGATCCCCACGATAATCCTGCCCTAAGCCAAACAGGAAACGTGACTCCATAACTCTGCAGCTCAGGAGTGGGGAGCAGGTGGGTGGGGGAGCAAGCCCAGGTTCATCTCCTGGACATCCCTGATTCTGAATTCCTGTTTCCATCAGAACCTGGCTGTTCTTGGTCTGTTTCCTTTTCCCATTCTCACCCTTCTGCTGCTAAACAAACCCAGATCCAACATGTGGATCTTTGTTTATAGTTCTCTTTAATTCCTTTTAAACTAGTTTACAAAATAGTAGCCTTCCTTACGGCATTGACACACATATATATGTATGTGTTATAGTTCCCCTTGATTGAAGGAAAAATGTAGTCACTCAGAGTAACAGCTCAGCACAGGGCTTCACTTTGTGGTATGGTGGGGACAAGTGTCCTCCAAAGGATATGAGTCCCAGTCTTTATCCCCAGCCTGTGTCACCACTGAGAGGGTACAGTCAGTCAGCGGTGGGGGCCTGTTGGAAGGAAGTCATGTCATTGTGGAGGCTGGGACCCTAGCCTCTTCTCTGTCATTGCTTCCTGGCCACTCTGACCAGCTTTGGCCTGCAACACTCTGTGTGATGATGTTCTGTGCTACTTGGAGCCCAAAGCAACAGGGCCTATGCACCACTGACAGAATCATTCAAATCCATGAACTGGAAAAAAAAAACAAAAAAAAACTTCCATTTAAGTTGCCTTATCTCAGGTATTTGTCACAGTGACAGAATACTGGGTAATACATCTTGCCACTTTGAGGAGTCTGTACTTGGCTCTGGCTTACTTCACCCCTAAAGGCTTCTCACATGAAATGTTAGGGAATTCTTACTCATGGATCCAGCAAGTGTGAGCTCTCAGACTTTTGTGGTTTGCCAATGCTGGCACTGGGGAGGAAGTGATACATGGTTTTTGTTCCCACTGGTGTCACTTATTGATGTAGCCCTTCTCCCACCTACAGGAGGTAAAAGTAGCCCCAGTCTAAGTTTTAAGAAGACATGTTTTCTATGGTGACTACACTAATTCTTGCTTGTTTTTAGCCACTGTTTCATTGGGTGTAGCAAGGCATCGGAGACCACGATCTCTTAAGGAAAAAAAAAATACATCTGTTACTCTTTTTATTGTTGTTATCAGAAAAAATAATAGGCATGGCAGATAGCTTGGTGACTAGCTGACCCTCCCTTTTGCCTGGATCATCATGGTTTGCTTTATAAAGCTTCTACTGGAACACTGGTTATGCTATTTTGTCATTTATCTATTTCCCCTGCTAAATTGACAGGCACCTTTTTCAAGTCTTTACTTGGGAGAAAGCAGTCTTCAGGCAGGACAGAAGCCATAGCACCCTTGGGAACTAAGAGGAGGACTTAGACTCATTCACTTCCCATCATACACTCAGAGTTTAGGACCCCATGTTAAAATGTCTATTCTCTGGGATGATGACTGAGCCACTGATGGACCAATTGTTTGCTAGATGTTTGACTTTTAGTCAGGGTCGTTGCCTTGGGAGCCTGTGAGTTCACATTCACACAGTGCCAGTGCCTGCAAATGGGGGAATCTCAGTTTATGGTTCTCAAAAACAACCCAGAGATACCTTGGTATGCAGTGTGATTTACAATCAGACCCCTTTCTGGAAGGACACAAGAAATTAGAAGTGGGGTAGGGAGAATGGATATTGCAAGAGTTCTCTTTGGGGGTGGGGGTGGGGGGTCCTAAAATGGTTCAGTTCCACCAAAGTTCAACCTGAGGAACCAGTGACTTTATTTGGCTTCCTTGGGGAACATGGGTGTGTGGTTATGAACAGGAGCATCAAGACCTTGAAGCAGATACCACTGGACCGTCTACATTTAGTACCCGACTGTGTAGATGAAGCCTCTTCCCTTTTCCAGACCATATACTCTACCCACTCTCCTAGATCCCAGAGACCACGGGCAAAACTGCAAAATTGCAGATGACTAGCTGCTGGTGTAGCTGAATGCTTAGGAAAGTCCAATGACTTTTCCTTCCTACCCCACCCCCTTCAGTGAGGGAATGTCAACAGTTAACAAGCCCAGCTGGGACGATCTTTTGCAAGCAGATACAGCTGGCCTTACAAAAAGATGGTGGTTATTCTGCTCTAGGAGAGTACTGTCTACCTGTAAATAGGCAGGGTTCTAAAGGTCTGAGTCTCCACAGTCTAGGATGGTTGAGCTCTCAACTCACCTACTATTGAAAGTGAGCATTTGTGCCATCACTGGGGCATGACAATTTATGCCTTAGAAAACTAGGGACAAACATGTTTCTCCAAACTGTTGTGAAAAAAAAAACAAAAACCGCTCCCAAATAGACTCACAAAATGTTCTGCTTTTTATATTCCTTTAGAGCATTGCAGTTTTCTTTCTCCTTCGTAATTGAGGATCTGAAGGGGGCAGCTGACTCTCCTTGCATTTTTTTTTTTCCTCCCTGACAGGCTGAAGTTTAAGATGTTTTTGGCTCTTCACAGGACTGTCTTCTTGGGAGGTCAGGCAGATGGGGTCTGTAACTATATGAAGGATGGGTTGATGGGGCTGGTCACCTACAGGTCAGCCCGATCCCCACTTAGCTAACCCCCAGTGGCTACGTTGCGGATCATAGAGGGAGGGGTACAGTTGGTGCTTCCTGATTGGAGGATGGCTCTTGCCCCCAGGGGACATCCAAACTCAAGGTTATCCAGTGGTCCCGAGCACTGTGATGCTAAGTTTCAAACTGGCCTATTGCTAACATTTGGGTGATTTTGAAAGCTTAGAGTCAGGACCAAAAATAAAAGTGTTGTCAATATTGGGGCTTAGAACAGGGCTTGTTTCAGTTCTGCATCTTTGTCTATACTGCATTTAATAAAAATGAACAAATCTTTAAAATTATAGAATTTTTTCAGAATGTCTTTCTGGTTTCTGAACTACTGACTCTTTCAGGTACACTGATACAAAGTTACCTTTTTCATCTTAACATCATATCCATGTGGAAGCAGTATAATTACAGAATATTTTTGTAATTGGCCATAGTCTGGCTCATTTGCCTCCCGTTTGCTATTTTCCTCCACTGTCTAGTTTGAATGACATTTTATTTTAGGTAAGAAAAACAAAGAAGAGAAAAAGTGGAGATGAAACTGTGTGAGAAAGAGCAACTAAAATTATTAAAGGGATGAGGATGCAGAGAAAGACATTTGGAAGCTTACAGGAAGATGTGTGTGCCTTCATTTATCTGAGACCTCATCAGACTTCAGTCTTATACCCTGCAGTTAAGGTGAATAGTGTGTCTTTGTTTACCAAATGATAACATTGTGAGTGGTTTGGAGTGTGCATGTGCACAAGTGTGGGCAGATGTATGTGTCTGTGTGTGGTTGTGGAGGGCAGAGGTTTACACACACACACACACACACACACACACACACACACACAATTTAAAAAAAAAAAAAAACAAGAAGAAACTTAGGTCCTTGGGCTTGCAGGGCATTTTACCTCTTGAGTGAGAACCTAGCCTACAAGTGCTTTTAATTCAAAGCAAAAAATGTACTATTTTTTATATTTGTATATATTTGACAGTCTTAGAATCCTCCCCGCCCCCCCAATTGCTTTGGTGGCAATTTTGATTTAACTGGGAATTTTTTTTAATTGGTAAATACACATTGTGGTGGCACTTTACCAATGACTGGTATTCCTGTCTCTTGCCAGCTGGATGCACCGAGACTCTTCAGAACCATGTTACTAAAGCCACTTAACTTAGGCTGGGCCTTGAGCTGTTACACCCCTGTTGCCAGTGGCTTAATCTTACAGACTCCCAGCAGGGGCATCCATCACCTGGGAGTTTATTTGGAAGACCGAATCTTAGCCTCTTGGAGACCTGCTGAATTTGAATCTGTGATTCTTGTGCATATGAAGGCTTAGCGGGCCCGGAAGTTCACTGAATACACACTTCACCTGGCTAGAATTCTCAGCTTTAGTATGCATCAAAATTTGTTAAAAACACAGATTACCTACCCCTGACTCCTTACCCTCTGGGAGTGTTCAATAGGATGGGATGGGACAGATGGAGTGTGTCAAATTAATAGGTTTTTCTGTTGTTGCTCTGGGGACCAGACTTTGGACACTCACTGCATCTGAGCTCTGAGGATATTTGGGGATAGTTCCACCATCCTTAACAGTGGATGATGGCAATATCTTCTACAATTCTTCATACAGCTGGGAGAACTAGTGTTCAAGGGGGAATGTAGTATAAGCCCTTTTCATTTTGATATGCTCCTACTAAAAGGCAATCTCACCATGCATTCATTCAGTAACAATCTGGGTAGCTTCAGTCCATAGCATTCTGCTCAGTTCTGACAGAATCTCATGAAGGTCAAAATATGGTTCTTCAAAACATTTATTCCTTTCAAAGAGAGCACATGAAACACTAAATAAATTAAATAAACAAGACACTAGCATAGGAGGCCATTCAGATGGGCAAGGCCAGAGTGCACCGGGTCAGGGACCACTTGTGATTTCATTTCAGAGAGCAGGACTTAGAGCTAACACAGGCTATGTGCATTTCCCTCTAGCTCGGGTAAAAAGTCCCTGCAAACAGAATGGGTGGGGGTGGAGAGTACCATCTCACCTCTCCACTCTCCAAGGGCAGTTTTAAAACTCAACTTTTGCTTTGGTCTGGGGTCTTAGTTGAATCTACTATAGGAAAATGATGTAGACAGTACAGCTTAAATGACAAACATCTATCTCTCCTAGGCCTAGAGGCTGGAGGTCTGAGGCCAGGCTGTAGCCAAGGTCAAATTCTTGTCAGGAGATGTTTCTGAGGATTGGGAAAAGCTGCCATTTCATTATCAGAAAGCAATCATCTGTCTTCATCCCATCTCCTCCTGTAATATGAGCATTGATCCCATTGTGAGGATTCCTTGGTCATGTACTCATTACCTCCCAAAGGCTCCACTCACTGCCTGATACAAGTTGACAATTAGGGTGTTTTCCAGTACTGGGCACATGTATATACTAAGCAAGCAAGCAAGATGTCTACCACCAAGCTACCTCTCCAACCCTTTTTTTACTTTTATTTGGACACAAGAGTCTCATTAAATTGCCCTGAATTTGGGATTCTCCTGCCTCAGCCTCTGCAGCAGCCAAAATTACAGGCTGTCACTACTTTTCCCAGCCATGTTAGAGTTTTGCCAGGGATACAGTCAATAACATTAGGAAGACTGAAAATTAACTCTATGGAAGTTGTAGAACAGGCTGTAGGGTAGGAATACTGGCATATTAATAACTGGCACACCCTGGCATATTAATAACAAAGACACAGCCTTTTCTGGTCCCCTACACTGGCAGACACTATCTCATTTAGCTGGAGCAGTGCTTTTAGGGAAATGTACTCAAACTTGACTGCATGAGACAGCCACAGTTTTAGAAAGACTGAGAGTGGGTAAAGTTCCGAATTTGAATTCAAATACAAACCGTTCTCCAAGTAGGCCTCCTCCACGATCAGCCCAGGACCATCTATCTATTTTCCCTTCAGCTCTCAGATTCTGTGTCGGAGAGGAAGGGATCCTCCAGCGATTCCAAGTGGAGGAACCTGTGGTCTTGGCACGTCCCAGGAGCAGCCAGGCAGGCAGGCCTGTATGAAACGATGCAACCGGGGCAGGTTTGGCCTCAGTCTGCCCAGGTCACCAAGGCACTGTAATTACAGTCTGTGGTAGGTGACGGGAGGAGCTGTCTTGGGCGCGAAGCTTCCCCGGCCATTGTATCAGCCTATAAATACTTCAAATACTTAAGTGCAATGTGCAACCTTTGAATGTCCCAGAGGAAGCTGTTGGGAGGCCCCTGGGGCCGCCCGGAAAGGAGAAATGACTGGAGTGTCCTTCAGGCAGTAGACAAGGAGACCTGCTCAGTCAATCCCGATGGAGGTGCAGGGAGGCT